GGCTCAACAAAGCTTGATAAAAGCTTTTAAGAAATCAAAGACTTGGTTAGAACTATCAAGCACAGCATAAATACACCAGTATTGTACAAATTGAGCCTCCATTTGCTACATTTACACTCAGTCAGAATCAGTCCTTTCATCATCAGAGTTATTATTGCTCGGCTGAAGGTCGTTGTTGCGGAATTGCTCTACAACATCACTTGCAATCTTGTCAGCCGCACTTTGAGCATTACTGATAAGATCAAGAGCAGCTTCTTCACTTGTCCCGTCTGCAAAGCCATCAATGGTATCAATTTCAATCCTCGGGTACAAGGATTTGGTCATCGCCAATGCCATACTAGCTCCCATACTTCCAGCTTTCTTGATATTCTTGAAATATACATCCGGTGCAACTCTCAGCTTGTCAAAGATTTCGGTTGCGTCAAGTGCACTCGGACCACTGTTATTAAGGAACATAGCTTGGACGAGTGGTGTAGCGACATTGGCGACTTCGTCTCTTGCTCCTTCAAGCTTCTTGATCTTACCAACCAGGACATCAAACTGAGCTTGAGATTTGATTTTACGGTCTACAAAACACATTTATAATAAGAATCTGCTGCATTAAAGAGAGGACAGTTCAAATTGTCAGCTGGCAGTACCTTCAACCTCCTTCAAGGCTGAGTCCCTTTCCGCAGCCAGTTCTACCTTGTCTCTTTTCAAGGCTTCAATTTGTTTCTCCATTTGAGCCATCCTGGTGGCTTGCGCTGTTTGAAATCCAAATGTTTGAGGATACAGTTATGACAGCATAAATCCATGGGACAGATCTGGAAGATTACCTTTTGATGAACCACTCAGCTCGAAGTTTGAATCCTGGAGCTGTGCAATTCGCTCCCTTAATTCCTTCTCCGTTTTCTTGGCATGCTCCTTGGCCTCGTGTAGCTGTTCCCTAACGGCTTCAAGAGTTCCCAAATGTGGAACCAGCTTTTCTAAGGTTGCAGTCTTGGCTTCATTACGAAGATGGATTCTCTGCACGGTGGTTCATGGATTAGTTTTGCTAACGAGAAAACAAAGTCATCAAAGGCAGTCACCTAGAAGACTTACATTCACAATGCGAGTGGCTTCTCCAAGTACTTTCTTCAGCTGGCACACTTCCTCATCTTCTTTTTGGCGATTTATAACAATGCCGGAAACTTGAGAGTTCTCGTCCCACCATTTGAGTAAGATAGGAGGACGAGAGTCATTAGCTGCCTTTATGCGGAGAATTTCTTCTTCGTCGCCGCCTAGTGGACCTGATGTATTCCCAAGACATTAGACGAACAAGCTGGAGTTATTCAGAACGGCATCACTTGAGAAGATGAGTTACCTGAGGATGTGCCTGGCTGAGCGTGAGGTGATCCTTGCTCTTTATCTGGAGACCCAATCACTGAGTCATTACCAACTTCTGGTCCTTGAGAAGTTGTCTGCGCTTCAGCTTCAGGAATCTCTTGATTTAGATCTACATCCGACTGGTTTCCAGTCGGGGGCTCTCGGGTTGTTGCAGTTTCAGTTGTTGCCGACTGGTTTCCAGTCGGCGGCTGGTCACTCGGATTGGCCTTGTCATCCGAAGCTGGGCGCCAGTCGGCTGCTTTCGGCAGTCGGCTGACTTTCGGCAGTCGGCTGGCTTTCGGCAGTCGGCTCAGCATCCTTGGATATATTTGGCTCTGTCACAGCCGGATCAGGATCTTTTCCGGTTGGATCTATATCGGACGGTTTCCTGCAAAGTGCCCTTTCGATATTTAGCATAATTCCTATGAGAGAAGCATGCCGAAATAAAATGGTACCGAGAGGTTTATACCTGGAAGATGTTCTAATCTTTGGCATTTGACGGCCAGCCAGTTTTTTCCTGGGCATGGTATGCTTTGGGAGTTTGTTGGGCGTGCCCTTGTCCCCAGATTTGTTGCTGTCATCGCCCTCATCGTCATTAAGCACCAGCTTTCTCTTGCGAGGACCTGTCTGCCCAGCCGGTTTGGAGGTTTGAGGTTGTGGGTCTGACCTGATTGTCGGCCCTCCACTTCCCTGAACGGTGTGCTGGCGAGGAGATCGGCGCTGAGCAATTGGGGGATCAGATTTCATCAATACGTATTCCTGAACGAGATGCTTCCACAGTTAGCTAACTCAACATGAAGATGAAATTATGTTTTGACCTTGGGTTGAAGATTTCAGATACATACCTGCGGAGGCGGATTGAATGCGTTGTATGGTACAACTGGCAGTTGATGTGAGTAGCTGACGACAATAGCGTTCGAGAATATCTTGTACATCCTCTCCTTCAGGATCTTAAAATCCAGAGAATCTGGGTCTTCACGGTTTGGATCATGCTTGCCGTCAAACTCAAATGCTGTGCGGGATCTTTCTTTGATTGGAGCTAATCGGCACTTAATGAAATGCCGAGTGATTTGCTCTCCCTGTAAGCCTTGTTCTTTGAGTTTCAGCATGCGTTCCATCAATTCCAAGGCTTGGGCAGCTTCATCTCCGATTGGAAGAGAGTTCCAGGTATCTTGGTACACCGGGGGAAGACAAGAGTACTCGGGAAGAGCAGGCTCAGGATTCTGAACATAAAACCAGTTTGCATGCCATCCTTTGTTTGAAGTCTTGAAGGGCATAGAGAAATACTTTTGGCTCAGAGTTCCCCTCAGCTGGAATCCTGCCCCCCCGACTACGCATGGTTTACTCTTGTTCGGTTGGGGTTTGAGGAAGAAGATCCGGCGAAACAGGGCAAAGTGAGGCTTGATTCCCAAAAAGGCTTCACAAACATGGACGAAATTGGCGATATGCACTATGGAATTTGGGTTTAGGTGATGCAAGCTGATTCCATAGAAGTTCAAGATCCCGCGGAAAAATTTCGAGGTCGGAAGAGCGAAGCCGCCGTAGAAGAAATGCGAGAAGACCACAATCTCGTGTGTATCGGGGGTCGGAAAAATCTCACCGTACGCTGGCCGCCACCCGATGATCTCCTTAGCAGGGAGAACGCCGTGCGCCACCATCTCCTTCAGGTTCTCTTCCGTTACGTCGGACGGCGCCCATTGGCTTTCGAAGCTTTCTCTCTCTTCCGCCATCGATTTTCCTCAAATGCGCTGATTTGATTCGAGGGATGGCCTGGGAGAAGTGAGGGATTGAGGCGGTGGATCACGGGAAGGATTTTGATGCACTTTTCGAAGGTGGATTTGAGTGGAGTAGTGAACCCTAGTTCGCCGGCGCAGTTCTGCACTGTAGCAAGGAGTGGGGAAAATGGCGAGAGTTCCGGCGGGGAAGACGAAGCGTCGCTTGGATCTCGGGATTTCTTGTTAAGGGTATCGGAGGTGCAAATGGGCCTAGGCCTGAACAGTACTTCAGCCCAATACTTTTAACAGCGTGGCCCATTGTGTTCCTTAGGGACTTAGGCATATTTTGCTTTGGCAATATTATGCGCACAATAGTGTTGCCCAATGCTGATAAAATCCTTTTTATGCGGTCATATAATTCTTTGGAATTATTGCAATGCAAATTAAAAGGTGCCCGACAGAAAGGTGTTATACCGCTTTTTTGTTAGCTTTATTAGGCTACAAAAGCTGTCTGGGTTAATCTGGAATGACTTGTTTTTATCATAGTCACTTCCTTGGTATGTTATATACCTATTTTCATTATGGTAAATAGTCATAGCCTAGGCTATTAGACTTATTCATTACCATAATTTTTTATAATACTTGGTGGGTGATCTTTAGAGTTTTATACTCGGATGCCTGTCCAGTGTGTTCATTCGTGAACCTTTTAGAGTGTAAACCACTCGGACTCTTTTTGTTATGGCTAAAAAGCAGTCGGCTAGAATGTCTCTTTAGGCGCCGCGTATGCTTTTGCCATCTGATGCGTGGTAGTGCTATTATTTTGTTCTCAACTATATGTTTAGTTTGTTAACTAATCACATAGTTGGGGGCTACACCTAATTAGGTGCATCTATTCGATGCACCATATTCTTTATCTTTTCGCCCTTTACAGTCTTCGTCTTCGCTACTCGGTGGGCCTTGGCATGAATAATCTGAAGCACTCGGATTGCTATCTTTGAGAAGGCTACGATGGTTGACTGCAAAGGTCTCGGGGGCTACTGTGGAGATTATGGATATCCCATATCTACACGGCGATACTATTTGGGCTGGATATAGGATACCGAATATGTATGGAATATCTTATTTGTATCTCGGGTTTGTTTCTTAACTTGTACAACAAGGAAACACCTTGAGACTTAGTCGGTCACGGCTGTATTTAATCTATATCTGTGTATTCCGTTAGGGATATTGATTATCTTTTGTAACCCGGACTCCTTCCCATATATAAGGGGGGTCCGGGCGCCTCTAGGGGCAGAGGTTGATTTTCCCTAAATCATACAATCAATAATACACTCGGCGGATTCATCCCCGGACAGGAGTAGGGTATTACTTCTTTTATAAGAAGGCCTGAACCTGTATAAATCCTTGGTCTCCAAACCCATACACTTTCCTAGCTTGATAGCCACCCCCTTTTATTATTGCCGAAATCTAGTTTCGACAATATTTTTTCTCTCTGCAACTAGCCAAACATAGCATTGAATTTTGAACAGGTGGAGTGTGAGAAATTTTACGGTTCTTGACCAATTACTTGTTATTATCAAAAGTTTACACTAAAATTATTTCTTTTATACATTGAGATACATAATACTTGATGTGCCAAAATTTATAGTATAAAATATGGTACCTCATGTTATGTTCTAAGGTTGGTAAAATTATCCTTTTTGCAATTTATTTCTTCCACAAATAGAAGAAGTTTGCTCCGAGAGGATTGTTTGCAAATGAGATGTTAGAAAAAAAAACACTTCTAAAGCCAAATATGACAATGAAAGCGTGTTTCAAAAAATTGCGTCCAAATTGGAAATCTAAAATAGCAGTAAAGTGTCTTGTTTAATTCACGTGCGTGGTCGTGAAATAACTTTCATTCAAAAATTAAAAACAATATCACCGATCTGATTTAATTACCTCCTTCGCTGGTGGCATGTTGAGTTGATCTGCGTAGCCCGGCTCTCTTCAATTAGTGTTGAATTGCGGGCAGCTTCATCGATCATATAATCTCAATCGATCTTCTTTCAGTTGATTAAACGCTCCTTAATTAGAAATGGATCGACAGCAGAGAATACATATATATGTTGAAGCAAGCCCTGTAATTAATTAACCCATGATATATAGATGCCTGATGGATCGATTTCTCCAGCCCACTCCTGATGCATCAACACACACACATAGGGGGAGAGAGAGAGAGCGCAATTAAACTGCACGATATGATGTAGCTAGTTTACCTTAATCACGATGTTTGCCGACAGAGATCGAGTACATGGGGATTAGCTAAGCCATTGTTGGTGCGAGGGCGAGCATAAATTGAAACGATCAAACTGGATGCAATATGATCGATAGATCGATGTTCTGGGCTAGAGCTAGCAGAAGCCTTGTAAAAACGTACTGTCGTCTAGAAGCCTTCGTCGATCTATTATTCCTTGCGTACGATCGATATGTTTGCTTTAGTATTTTTCTTTGCTTTGCATTTGCTGCAAAGCCGCAAATCGATATGCTATATGTACGTCCTAAGCTGTACCTGAATGCATCATCTGAGAGGATGAATGCATCTCAGATCTGAGAGGAGGTACAATAGCAGACTGTAAGCCAGCTATAAACATATATATTTTAAAGAGATAAAAAAGTAGAGAGAAGCAGTGGGCTACAGATCTGTAGAAGCTGTAGCACGGACTTCAAGACATAATATATGCTTCTATGACAGGTGGGATCACATATTAATAGTATTGTAAATAATTGTTGTATAAATCGACTATTAAATTGGCTATAGATAATTTGGAGTTAGTAGTTGGCTAATCGTCGGATTCTTTGCTTCGCCTCCTTGATTAAAGTGCAAAAAGCAAAAGATAAAGCAAAAGGGATGTACGTCGTCAATCCAGGATACAAAAGCAACTGTGTCTTGTTAACCCCAAGGTTAGAATGTGATACCCTATACTCCCTCAGTTTCATTTTAGTTGACGTTTTGGACAATGATACGGTCTACAAGATATATCTTTGATCTTATTTTTCTATTATAATATATACAATAAATAAATGCATGTTTACTTTTATTATAGTGCTTTGAAAGAAAAATTTATATATGTTATTCAATTTTCTTTAAATTAAATATTTTTAAAGTTATTGATGGTCAAAGTTATAAAAGTTTGGCCTCAACCTTATTCAAAACGTCAATTAATATAGAACCGGAGGGAGTATAGGGTTAACTATCTCATAATGCATAAACATTTCGGGGTAACTTAAATTACAAAATTTCAAACATAATTCCACAAACAATTTAAATAAATCATGAATTTTGACATTTTTTCTAAATTCGATAGAATACATTCTCCCTTGGAGTTAAACTAAATTTAAAACTTTGATTGGCATGTAGGCTACCTAAGCCACCATAGTTCAACCCCCCCCCCCCAAAAAAAAAGGGGGAAAAAACAGGTTTGCTAATCTAGCACCAGTACAAGATGGGTATTCGCAGGCAGAAAAAAATGATTTTTCATGGGCGCCCAGCCGCCCCGCTTACAATTATAAGGCATGCGAAAATCATGTGGTCGACGTTGAAGTTGTTGTCGCTATCCCTAAGAAGCCAGGGAGGTTCCACCACCACCGGAGTTCACGGGGTCCCAGCAGCTGGATCTAGCCTTCTCACTGTCGTCTTGCATGCCCCTCGGCAGCAAGATCGGCGGTGTGCGGCGGCGGGAAGGAGGCAGCCCGTGCCCCTCGGCAACCGGAGGCGGCATGCGGCGGCGGGACGGAGGTGGTCCGCGCCACTCGGCGGTGGTAGGCGAAGTGCGGCGGCGTGCGGCAACGGGACGGAGGCAGTCCGCGCCCCTTGGCAGCGGGAGGTGGCGTGCGGTGGCGGGACAGAGGTGGCCCGCGTCGGATCTGGAGGTGCGACGGCATCGGCGGCCAGCGGATCCATCTCTCCCCCTCCCTCCCACTTTGTGATTTGTTTGAGATACGTTCTTGTTCATGCAAGAGTTCATTTGTTGCTATGATAATTGGTGTGAGATTTTGTGTCGC